GAAATTAAAGTATAATTTAAAAATAAAAGAACATCTCTAGAAGATAAAACTTCCCTGGAGGAATTTAAGCAGGTCTCTAAAATAAGGAGTTCTGATATTCCAGGGCTGAGCCTTCACTATCATTATTTCTACCTAGTTAGACTGGTAGTTAAAAGCCAGATGTGTATTTTTGCCTAAATTATATATCAATATAAGAATGCATGTAAGTGTACACATGTACATGTGTGTAAGTTCCCACTTACAGTCATCACATTTTGTATCTCATGAGAGTATTTGTGCCTTACCCACATATCCATGGCCTACCACAGAACTCACCTACTAACAATTGCTTCTTAGGCAAAAAGCTTGTCTCTCACCTGGGGCCTTTCTCTGCCCAATAGTATTTCTATTCCCTTCCCTCCTCTCCTTGGTCTCACCAACCTCATTTCTTGTCATTCTTGACTAAGTTTCTGCCCACATGGACATTACTTAAAACATTCTCTCCACCCTTTGTGTGAATTTTGTCTTCTTCAGAATCTCTGAGAACTCTCCAATAAATAGCCTCCCTAACTGTTCACTCTGGGTATCATCAAACTCTCATTTGCATTACTGCAGTGGTTTCCTAACCGGTGTCCCTGTTTCTGATGTTCTCTCTCACAATCCACTCTCTACATAGCAGGCAATGTGATCTTTTAAAAACATAAATCAAATCATGTTACTCCCTTGCTTAAAATTTTCTAACAGCTTCTACTTACACTTGAAAGAAAGTTTAAGCACCTCCCTCTAGCCTATGAGACTCCATAATATCTGTCAACCCGGCTTCCCTGATTTCATTTCATACCATTCTCTCCCTCACCAGTCACCCTGTTGTTTTCTGTTTCTCTAACATACAAACCAGAAGACTTTTGTACTTATTATACACTCTGGCTGGGTGTCTTCCCCAAATCTTTGCACAGCGATTCTCTTGTTATTCAAATTTCAGCTCAAATGTCACCTCCTGGAAAAGACCTTCTCCAGTCTTTTAAAGGAGTTACTCTCTATCACATTTTCTTACTTAATTTTCTTCATAGTACTTATTGTCTGAAATTGTTTCACTCTATAAGACTTCTTTATTATCTGTCCTACTACTAGGCTCTAAGTTATATGACAACAGAGATCTTATCTTTATTATTCACAAGTTAGTCCCTGTGCCTGGAACTTTAGTAGGTACTATATACTCAGGCACCCAGTGGTGATAACGACTCCTTTCTAAATTATACTCTAAAGCAAAAACAAAAAAAAGTAATAAAGGGAGGGCTCAAAATAACACATACATCTCAATTTATCTGTTTGATACAATAAGTAGCTATATATAATTTGCATCAAAAAACTGTATGTAACTGGCAGGCAAGATCACTCACAATATATAAGTTTAGCTGTCCTTTCTACAGTTGTAATATTCAGCAGATAATCATTACACACAATATCATATACAGGTCACAAAACATTATCACAAAAATATTCCTCTCCATGCTTATTAACATCAAAAAGAATAATATGCTGTATATTTTTCCACGAAAAAAATTATGCGAATTTATTCCAGCCTAATTATTCAGTCCTAATGAGAACAAAAACACATTTTAGTGGACAGTGTCAACATTCCTCAGCAAAAAAAAGCTATTGGCACACTAGGTGCCATGATGAAAGCGGTAGTGGTTGTGGATAGAGAATATTTACACTAACTTTCCAACCTTCAAATGGCTTTCAGCAATTAACATAGCACATTAAGTTTATAATTCAACAATTTGGTGTCTATGAAATAGGTAATTAGGATTAAAATCAGAATCTAAAAACTTTTTATCTCAAACTGGTCCTTGAAATCCTATTTCTAAAATTTCTATTCTCCTTCTTTGCTTATGCCATTAGAAATGATTTTTCTTGTTTGAACCTGTGTGGTCTCATATTTTGTTGCAGTGCCATCTCAAAATAATCAGAATTTTTACATTTAAAGATTCTTTTTTTTCTAATCAGGAAGTGGGAATTAGCAGAATTTCTTTGCTTTGTCTTCACCTTCTCTGACAGAAAAGTTCCTCTGTGGTCATGATATTTCAAAGTAAAACCCTTCCTGAAGCCAGGAGATAAGAAACTTTCAGGGCTTGTTTCTAACAGCTCATGAATGAGGGCCATGAGGGCCATCACAGATAGTAAATAACAATGGAGGCTGTATAGTTACTGAGAAAAATTGTTGTTGTTATTTTTTAATTTTCTTTTAAATTTTATTTTTTCACAACTATTTTTGGGGACTCAATTATAATTATAGAATATGATCCATTAAAGAAAACTACAAGTTTTACTTGATTTCATAAACATCCTTTTTGACTTCATATTTAAAGTAGAATGAGGTAAAATGTTTATTAAATTTTACGTTAGTGCAGTCCTCCCACTCCAACACACATTCACACATACACACACAATATATAGGTAGGTTTGCAGGTCTGCCCAGAAACCTTAAATCTTTTTATTGTTTTTTTTTTCCTTTAAAGAAAAATTGGTTAGTGATATGATATTAACAGTGTAAATCATTACAGGTCTGATGTTACAATTGTTACACATTATTGAATCTATCCAGTGAAAAAGAAGCACAAAGGGAATTTCCAAATGCAGCTGCTATTTCCCATTTGTTAAATCCTTTTATTACACCATATAAGTACACAGCTGGGAAATACTATAGAGTGGGAGTTAAAACAAAATATTTTGGCTTCCAGTCATTCGGAATACACAAAGGCTCCAGTGGAAACCGATACTTGATAGCAAAGGAAAGTGAAAGTTTGAAAACATGTCTAGCAAGTATGATATCTTTTACATTAATATATAACTTATTTGTACCATTAAACCACTTTATACTATCATAAATCACATGTAATATAAATTTGGTAGGAAAATTATTAACATATATTTTAAGATGAAATTTTAGATCATAAAAGTTTGAGAATAATGCACCAAAGCAACTTGGCACTTTTCAAGATACAAACAAAATTTTTCTTGGAAAAATAAGTATAGTGTTCTCAAGGAAATAAAATTTGAACTGTATTATTTCTCCTTCTACCCATATTTTCCAGTGCAGTTACTTTTATTTGTCAAAGCCAAAATATATCTTAAACCTATCCTTTCTCTCTAGCCACTCTTCCTTTACACTAATCCAAGCCCCTCATCTCTCACCTAAATTTCTGAAATATATTCCCAATGGGTCTTCCTTCTTTCACTCTTGTCTCTCTCCCATCCATTTATTATATCACAGCCAGAATTTATCTGTCTGAAATGTTTTTGAATGCTTCAAACGTTTTCCATTGAACTTAGATCAAATCTCACATCCATAATGTTATCTCCAAGGCGCTGTTTGATACAGCCCCTACCAATCTCTCCAACTATATCTTATGCTATATTACATCCTCAGTCATAACTCTCCAGCGACAAAGGCCATCTTTTACTTTGTAAAATTAAGCAGTAACTTCAAATACTTCATACATGCTGTTCTCTCTGCATTTTTACAATTTGTTCCTCTCTACCTGGTTAGTTCTTTCCATCCTTGGCTCAGTGAGGGCATTCCTAACCATCTATTCTAAATTGGGTTTGCCCCATTATGTTCTCACATAGCATTCTGTTCTTTCTCCTAATACATAGCACATATCACAATTTTAATTATATATTTATGTGTATATTTATTTAACTTCTATTTCCTCTCCTAGACTATAAACTCCGTGAAGGCATGAATCATGTCTGCTTTGTTCAGCACTAGTCAGGACCTAATAGAATGCTTGACACATAGTTGGTACTCAATAAACATTTGCTGAAATAAAAATGAAACTTAGCTCCATTATCTTGCCAATAAGCAAGTAGCAGTGACTGGATATCTATTTCACCTTGGAGGTGTAAAATGAACAACTTAAGTTCAATCAGAAAAGCGGTCTCGCTTTATTACCTTCTTCCTACTCAGGAAAAACAAATCTTCCAGTGAATTTAATTGCACAATTTTGATCCCCTTCAAAACTAAAATTAGTCCAGAAACTATCTTTCAATCTCCTGCTTTTCACCTACTGCTCCAGAGCACTAGCTATGTCTGCAAAATCACCTGGAAAAGAAAAATGTCTGCCTTCATAAATTACTGAATTAAGTCTCTGAGACATAGAGCATTGAATAAGAATTTAATTATCTGTTATTAGTAGTAAAGGTATTGTAAATATTACCTTGTTTATGTTAAGAAATACAAATTTTCTCAGTGCCCACTTAAAATATTTTTCATTAACTTAATTTTTGTTAGCCAAAAATTAAGAAATGCAGAACAGGATTTAAAACTTCTAATAAATTATATTAACATTTTAACCTCTTCTAGATGCTAAAAAATTGAATATTTTTGCTTTAAACTAGATAATTAATGTCACTTACTATGGTTTCTGTTTTGATGGTTAGAGATGGAATTTAACATGGGAAAGCTGGCTAATATACTGCATGTATTTGATGTTGTTTCTACTTTTCGAGAAAACTCCAGTAGTCTGATTGAATGATTCTAACGAGGTTTGCATGCCCTTTTGAAATTAATATATAGGCACATAAGTGAGAAAAGCTTTATTATAAATCAAGAATGATCATTAAAATTGATAAATACCTGAATTTTCTCATTGACAATGTAGTCAACATATTACCTCATTCACACATATTTGCTTAATTACATTTTTCAACATTAATACATAGCCATCTTTTATTTGATCATACTGATTTTGTGCTATTACCAGGTTAATCACCTTAAATTCATGGATTGATAGAATAAGATAACCAATCCTCCCACAAAAATCAATCAATAAAATATCTTTTTGCACATTGGCCTAATAATGAACATATACACACTAAATCACAAACCATTTTTCAAGTTTTTCCAGTTATTAGGATCTTAGTACTATGTCATCTATTTCCCTAAAATGTCTATTTATAATGAGGATGTACTAAGGAATGCACTTAGTAGCAGTGGTCAGATTTTAAAAGCTCACCATTCTTTGCTGAGATGACAGAACGCTGTCCCAGTCAGCATCTTGTTGAATGGTATTGACAAGTGTTGGTAGCTCCTCAGAGTGAGGTTTGTTGTGCATTATGGGGTGCAGAGGCAGATGGGAGGCCACATGTTGATCACTGCTCTCTTCCTTTTCCCTTGAGGTCAAATCCTGGGTCATCGCATCCTCTCCATCAGCTGCACAGGCAAATGGAGAGGTGGCTTGCTTGGAAGACATTCTTCTGCAGAAGGAAAACAGAATGGATTAAAAATGGCTGTCAATAACAAAAGAGTAAACCATCCCTTGCATTTGACTAGTTCAGGAAAAAAGGAAAGTTATTTAACTTTAGAGATATTTATGGTCTTTAAACCCCTGAAAAAGAACTCTCGGCTTATGTGTCTTGCTTTCCCTCTTTGCTCTTAACTCAGCAAACCTCTTCCCAGTAATCACTGCATATTTTCTCTCTTACAATCCATTAATGATTTTTTTACAGAGTAAGTTTTCATAACGGACAGGGTATGTATGTATATATTTTTCCTCCTAGTTTTCTTGACTAGATTATAAGCTTCTTGAGAGTATTTAAGGTGACAGCAATGGAAAAAAAAATGAATGAATGAACTGGCAAATGAGTTAGTTTGCAAGATGATTTAAAAGCACAAATATCCAACTTTCCCCTATGGTTTATGTAGGAACAAAAGAAGCATATGTAGGAAAATATAATCAGGAGAGTAAATAATTCATAATTAAAGTCCTAAGTAAATCTGATCCTGACTTCTTTGTTTACACCTTGTATTATGAGGACTGGGCCTAACGCTACTTAGTGCCATCTAAAGCTTTTTAAAAGACCTTTAAAATTAGTCAACTGTAACTTAACTTTTAAACGACATATTGATTGATACTATTAGATTAGTTTTAAGGCAATTTTGTAGCATTTGAATTGAGTATCTGAAATAGCTATACCTCAATTTCATATTAGAAAGTACATACAAGATTCAAAACATTTACTATAAAAATAGTAAAATGCCTACTGTGCATAATATTCAAAACCTCCAAAAACAATGCTGAACATTCATTTATATGCTCACAAATAAACATCGACTACACTCTGCATGACAAGGTCTCCATTCTGTGCTCTCATATAAAATCAGAAAATCATGACTATTAAGTAGAATTTCAAAATGTTTAGAAAACCACTTTATCAAAATGAATTTCTTAGCAAAATGGTTAGAAAATAAAATGACTGAAACTTAACAGAGAGTCAATTGAATATTTTTTTCTAAAACTTTACATTGTTTTTGGTTTATTGCTTCTTTAGCTCTAAAACTGCTGTGTAATGAAAGGAATAAAATCTCCACCTTAATTGCTATTTAACATTAATTGATTTCATACCATTTTTTTTAAAATGCACAAATCAGTTAACATAGGAAACCACATGAGCATTTTTCAAATTAGCAAATCATTAACTTGCTAGTACTGTTTCTACAGACAAATAAATACTGATTAAAGGGTCTAGAAATCTGAGATTAACAGTTAAATTTACAAATCTGTCACATGCTTTCATGAATATTGCAGTGAAGGAAATATCAAGTGCAAAGAAAAATAATTAAGTTAATTCCAATTTAAACAGTAGTTTTTATGTAGCAGCCCATGTTTCACATAGGATTTAACAGCTAATGCTAAATTTCTCACAATTAATGAGGGGGCTCAGATTTAGTATCCTACAGTGAAAAAAATTAATATAAGATCAGCTAATCTAATTATGCACAGCTCTAAATAAAAGTATTACAAGATTTTGAAGTGCTTTGAAACATATTAAAATGCTGATACCTACTTATAATAATCATTCTACAACTAGTAAAAATTATATCTATTAAATTTGATACTAGAGAATAAAATGGGGGAAAGGGAATGCAAAAGAATGCCTATGATTTCTTTGAGGAGAAATGAATTAAATGTTCTAAAGAATGCTATATCAGTAAATCTAACAAATATATTCTTGACCAATTTATATCAATACTAACAAATGAACAAACGTATATATGATTATGAAAAAAGTAGCCAAAGTATGCCTCTTAGTATAAGAGAATTACTATATGGCTTACTTTACTTGCCCCATAACTACTATTAGTAAAACCAGGCAAATAATAACTGTTCTGCAAGTTTATCAAGAGCTTGCCACAAACAAGAGTGATTTCATAGTTCAGATACTGAAAACTTCGATAATCATTTATGCTAAAAACAAAAGAATGAATTTACTTCTGCTTTTAAAAATAGTTAAATACAATTGAAAGTGATGATCCAAAAATCAGTGACTTTAGTTCCTTCAACAAACATCCTCTTACTATAAAGTGAATCGGCTCCTTCCAACAGCAATGTCTATGATTGCTCCTTTAGTATAAATTAATCATGACAAAACCCAAAATGAAAACAGTCTCTTAAGAATAATTTCAACTATAAACTGCACCAGTGAACAATAGTGTGCAGTCCTAATTAAACACAACTCTGCAGCTGTAAAAATAGACTAAATCTCTGAGTTGAGTTTAAAGGATGGTTTGTTAGAATGTTTTCTTAAGGAAGGCTGGGTCCTCAGTCTTAATCAGCCAATAAATTATTTCCTGCAATTACATTAAATAGAAAATTATCTTCAAATGGGGAGTGTTAATTGAAAATCAAAATTCAGAGGGAAGTTTAGAAATTACACGCTGAATACAATTAGAGAGGAAAGGCTTCACCTCTACTTCATCAACAGTCTTCTAGTGATTCCTCCAGTGACCATTCAAGAATCCTACCTATTTATAACATCACACAATTTGCCTTTTATTTTGCACCTACAAATACACATGTGTATCAAGATTGCAAATAAAACATAAGCTGCCAAAGAAAGCAATATTAACTCTTGACTGTTTATCCTCAGTTCACACCATCGTTAGAGGAAAAGGAGACAGGGGAGGTAGGACAACAATCAAGGAAAACACACTCAATTTTGAAATCCCTTTCTTAAGCAAAGGAATTAATATTTTTTGGTTCCAAGAATATTTTTCCAAATCATATTTTATTTAATTTCTTGTTTTTACTTTATTATAGTTCCCAAATACATTGCTAGTGGAGAAAAAGATGGGTTTTGTTCTTAAAAGACCAAAGGTATTTCCTTGAGCATTTCCTTTTGATAAAATTGTTGGGTTTTTTTTTGTTTACATCTTTTTTTTTTATTTTTCGTTTTGTTGTTGATTTTTGTTTGCTTTCGGTGGTGATTTTGAGATTTTATGAAATGTGCACAAATAAATGCAGAGTTTATTAAATAAACTTTAGATTTGCTGATTATTAGATCTGACTCACTGATTTTTTTGCATAATTACTTTATTAAATAATCCTGATGACATTTCAGTCATTTCTTTACCTTAGCTTTCCCCTTTAAAACGTTTTACTAGACCAACCAAACTGTATGCTAGAAGCTTCAACAACACTTGACTTTTGGTAATGCCTTTATTATAACCGCTGTACCATAGCTACTCTCCTTTAGAAGCTCATAAATCAAATATACCCTTGTTTCAGTGTTTTTAAATGTCATGTGGATTGCTTACACTTATTTTAATACTCAATCAGTAATTTTCCATAGCAAAAATTTTCATCCCCACAGTACCTTACTCTAGCTGCTGCCTTATACAACTAATAAGCAAAAGAAAATCAAAATCCTTGTAGAAATGGTCAATTTTGATGTGACTTTACTTTGTTTTATTTTTGCACTATTATAACTTAAAAATCATTCAAATGAATTGTTTTTTTAATTTGTATTAAAAAAAAAAATCTCCCTAGTTATACCCCCTGAAAACAGGGGTTTATAATGGAAATGCTGACACAACCCTAACTAAAGCAGCGCAAATGTTGCCGCTATAATACACAAAATCAAGTTCTATTATTCTAAACTATCCTCGCTCATGGGATTTTTCTTTACTGTGCTCCCAGCCAAACTGCTGAAGCATGAAAAATTTAAATGCAATCAAATGCGCCCAATTCTACTTTACTAGAACAAGTGTCTACAGTGGTACAATCTTAAAAGGAGATGCAACAGATTTGTTTGGTGTTTTTTTTAACTGTTTATTTATAATACAGTGCATTGGAGATAAAATAAAAGAGGAAATTACACTCACATGGTACCAGTGTATTGACTACACAGAGTACATTATAATCAGAGAGAAAAACTACATTGTCAACTTATCACATTGGTTAAACAAGATGGTTTTCTGGGGCATAGCTATTATCAAGTAAAACCTTCAAAGAGAAGTAAATATCTTTGGGACACATAAAACTAAATTCCCATCATATGTTCCCTGAGTTTGAAATGTCTCTGCCCAACAGATCAAGTGAACTCCCAGGATGTCAGGCCATTGGAAAGAACTTTGGGCTTAGGACTTTTGTAAATAAGACTGATAGAGATAAAGCCTCCAGTTACTGAGAATGTTCTCTAGGAAGTCAGTAGGAACACCTCTAGAAAGGTGATAATTGTTTTCCTCCAAAACACCAGTACAAAGTCCAAATGTTTGGGCCATTACAAACTTACTTAGACAGTAAATTTATTTTCTGATCTGCAACAAGAAATCAAAATTATAAAATGATGGGAATGACTTTATAAAATGATGGGAATGCTGGATACATGCACATTAAGTCCTCTATTTCAGGGTATCAGATTCTCTAGAACTTTTCTGATTTGACTTATTCTTTAAAAATGGTTATTTGGATATATATGAGGGGGGGATTCTTGCTCTGTTGCCCATGCTAGAGTGCAATGGCACGTTCTTGGCTCACTGCAACCTCCTCCTCCCAGGTTTAAGAAATTCTCCTGCCTCAGCCTCTCGAGTAGCTGGGATTACAGGCACCCACCACCATGGTCAGGTTTTTTTTTGTATTTTTTAGTAGAGACGGGGTTTCACCATATTGCTCAGGCTGGTCTCGAACTCCTGACCTAAGGTGATCCACCTGCCCCAATCTCCCAAAGTGCTGGGATTACAGGCATGAGCCACCACACCCATGCAAAATCAGTTATTTGTATATGTTTAAAGTCAGGATTATTTTTGAACAACTTCAAACTTTTCAACTTTCTCATAAGGCATAATCGCTCAAAATTACATTTTTAAAAATTATAGCTTGAAAAGTATCCATCGTTCAAAACTATCATTTGAAACTTATTTAACTATCAGAAAAAGCCCCTGACTTGATCATAACAATATTTTTAACTGGATTTTT